TTCATGACTCGTGGACTTCAACTCCCAGAATTCCTGAGCCAGCATGAGGAAAACTTTGTCCCCTTCATGACTCGTGGACTTCAACTTCCAGAATTCCTGAGCCAGCATGGCTCAGCTTGGAAACCTCTCCCTTTCCCCTCAGCACGGCTGGCTCAGGAATTCTGGGAGTTGAAGTCCACGAGTCATCAAAGAGCCAAGGTTGCCTACCCCTGAACTAGCCCATCGTGGCAATTTCTCCTTTGTCTCCTTTGATCTTCTTGGTCAGAAGCACTGTGTTGATAAGTATCCAGATTATCAATCACTGTTATCCACTTGTTTCCTAAGAAAAGATATCCAAAGTTTGGGCAATCTAGATATTGCCCCAAGGCTTGACAGCCCATTCAAGTGATTTGCACAAATATGGGGTGATGAAGATTCAGCTCCTCCTCTCTTTTTGGTCTGTTTCCTTTTCTAGGCTTGAAGAACCAAACAGATGTCTGGTTTGTGTTCCTTCCTGTTGCTCCAATCAAGACAAAAGCACCTGCCATTTTGACTTTGGCTGGTCTACTGATAACTCTGGGGTTACTGACTCTGTTCCTGTTGGGCCACCTGTTAGTCTTTCATATTTATCTCAGTAGGTACCCCTTTCTTCTGGTTTTCCTCCTCACTTCAATTAAACTGTGCATTTCCTTCCTCATACATACATCTGTACACTTTCACATACTTGGTGGGAATGCGGCTAGAAGCATTTTGTCTTGAGTGAAATTTCTGTGCAATTATGTAAGATTAAATAAGGTGAAGCCCAACATACCCGAAAAGCAATGAAGACAGTGATTTGGCTAGACCAGTGATGGCGAACCTTTTGGAGACCCGAGTGCCCAAACTACAACCCAAAACCCACTTATGCATCGTCGGTTGCCGGGTGGGTGTGGCCCATTGGCTGAGTGTGGCCATTTGGGTGGGCGTGGCCCATTGGGTGGGCGTGGCTGCGGTGGTAACGGCAGACTGGGTGGGACTAAAAAGTTCAATCAATCAATTCCAACTTTGCGAGATCTTTTTTTTTCCCCGCGAGAAGTTGAAATTGACTGATTGATTGAACCTTTTTTTTTTTTTTTTGCACACAGTGGCAGAGGCCTAAAGCAAAAAGGTTTTATAAAACCCAGCTGAAGGCCTAGGACTGGGGCGACGGTGCGCGTGCCCACAGAGAGGGCTCTGAGTGCTGCCTCTGGCACCCGTGCCATAGCTTCGCCACCACTGGGCTAGGCCATTGTATCCAACTGGATTACTGTACTTCAGTTACATATCTGCAAACATTACTTGTCTGAGCTGGAGGTAATGGTTACGTAACCATTTCTGATTTAACAGGGACTGTAGTATAACCTCGTTCATTAATAATCAGCAAATCACTGATTTAGATAAAAGTCTTTTTATTCCCCCTCCAAAGCACCGTTTTGAGCTCTTCCATCATAGCGTCTTAATTCATGTCTTGTTCTCGGGATTTTGAAGTGAATTAATTTTCGCTCCTTCTCTTTAGTGTGGCACCGGATGACCACCTATGAATATATTGTCCAGCAGCGTCCCCCTCAAGAAATGAAGGATCCAGAGAAGCAGCCGGAATTCTACCCTCCCCCACCAAGGCCCATTCAGGTAAGGCTGCAGCTTTTGTTTAAATAAAAGGTGTATTTCTGACACACCCAGAATGCAACGCATTCATAATACTTCCGTCGAACATCGCTTTCATTTTGTTACCTGTAAAGTCTGGAGCTTATGTATTTTCCCACTGTAGGAGATAGGGTGGGACTTACAGACTTTATGCTGTTGTTATAGCAATAGCAATGGTACTTACTCACAGTGTATACCGCTTCACAGTGCTTTACAGCCCTCTCTAAGCAGTTTACAGAGTCAGCCTATTGCCCCCCCCCCCCCAACAATCTGGGTCCTCATTTTACCGACCTCGGAAGGATGGAAGGCCGAGTCAACCTTGAGCTGGTGAGAATCGAACTGCTGGCAGTCAGCAGAATTAGTCTGCAATACTACATTCTAACCACTGCGTCACCATGCTCTAGTGCATTATGAGAGCTGGTGCAAGAAGATAATCATTATTTTTTTTTATATTATAGTAAAACTATTGTGCAATCCTAGTATCTATAGAGACAATTCCCTTGAATTGATCCATCCTAATTAAATCTCAGAACAGCACAATGTCTTTTCTTGGAAATCAAATTGGTTATATGGCCTAAGAAAGTAATCCAGTTATTTGGACGTGCTGAGATCTTCAGCACCCAAAGAGGGCCCATATCTGGGCTGGCTCGTTCTGTTTGTTAGGTGAACAGTTGGATAAACCAGCCTAACAGCTGAATGCAAATACTTGATACATAAGCAAAGCTACCCTACCTAAGCTAAAACTGAATTGCTAAACTGAGTGATTTGTGATAGCAGAATGTATTAAGCACTTGATATTGTTACTCCTTCCTCAAACATTCCATTTTTATCAAGTGAAATAGAAACAGTAAACAGCGCAGTACTTTGTTTCCAGAAGCACAGAGATAGCATGCGTGGACTTTGCTACACCCTAGAATATCCTTGTAGCAACATACTAAAGGCTGAGATTTAGGAACTGGCTCAGGGTCTCCTCGTGATCTGCATCACCCACTGTGTATTTAAGCCATGTTTTCCACAGTCCAAGGCCAACACAATAATCATCATATCTTTCTAGCTGTTTTGAAGATCACGTGCAAATATGAGGCTGCTATGGTTTAAACCAGGGGTAGTCAACCTTGGCTCTTTTATGACTCGTGGACTTCAATTCCCAGAATTCCTGAGCCAGCTTGGCAAAGGTTGACTACCCCTGATTTAAACTGAGGCTTCTTTAAATTATGGGATGCGTCTCCTTGGGGTCAGGAACAATTTGAAGGGAGGGAGGTCAATTGTTTTTTCAACCGTCTGATCAGGCTTGTCTAGGCAATGCTCCTGATTTTTTGTCTGTGCAAAGGCTGCAGCAGGCCATTACTAAAATAGCTTGTTTGTTTTAGGATATGCAATTTTATGCAGGGAGTCTTGGATATACCAACCCTGAGGTGCAGGTGGAGAACTCATCAGGATTACCATCTGGGAGAGAGTAAGTAGAATGAAAGCAAAGTTAAGATTTCCCTGAATTTGTTACAGTGGGCGATGTGTTTTGAAATTGACAGTAAAGTTTATATTAAATATAATTTTCTACGCTTCTTAGCAATCACACAGCTTTCTTAACAGTAAATAGAAATGTGAATCTATATCTCTGTTTGGCTTTTGTTGATAAGAAGAGGTAATAAAACCAAATCAGCAGCAACACTAAGAGTAGAATTCAGCAGAAAATAATAGCAATAAAAACAACATTAAATGTCATAACAAAGCAACGTTAAATAATACTGAGTGGCCTAAATTCTGCAAAAAAAAAAAAAGGGATTTTATGTGGCCTCGTTCATAATTGATAATGTTTAGGGCGAAATCAGGAGTGGCCAGCCCACAATCTCTCCACCATTTTTTCTTTGGCTCACATACTTACTCCCAGTGCTTTTTTTTTGTAAAAAAAAAAAAAAAAAAAAAAAGGTGCCGGAACTCACACACGTCATACGACCCACCTTGCCTACCCTACAAGGTTCCATCCAAAAAAGGTGCCGGAACTCCGTTCTGGGCGTTCTATGACAAAAAAAAGCCCTGCTTACTCCATTGGCCAATGGATCTTCCTCCTTCGTTAGCCGGTTCAAAAAAGCAACATAGTTGAGAAGGAAGACAATTGGGAAACCAGCATTTTTAAAAATTAGGATGATCCGTATAGTAATAGCAACGGGAAGTCGGTTATTTGTACCAAAATTTTAACCCTCCCCAACTGGGCAATCTTACATAAGCAAGACCTGTGCAGACTTTACACCTTGAACTGTGATCAAGATAAATACAGTTTATGGGAAGTGTGATGGGATTTTCCCACATTCGTTTTTTAAACGGAGTCCCTGTGAGTATTTTGCAACACTTCTGAGATGTCTCCTCATTGGGCTAAGTTGCTATTTATGAACTGAGCCAGGGGTCCCCAGCCCCCGGTCCGTGGACCAGTACCGGTCCGCAGCATGCCAGCAACCGGTCCGCACAAACAAGCAAAGCCCCATCATGTGAGATGCAGGCAGCACACAAAACCACGCACCCTCCAGGCCGCGGAAAAACTTCTGTCCATGGAACCGGTCCCTGGTGCCCAAAAGATGGGGGACCTCTGAACTGAGCTATCAGCTGACTTGCCCATTGTCCCTTCATTGGTACCTTTCTCTGCTCTTCATTCTTTTCCCAGCCCCTCTACAATGACTCACATCAGGCTACTTGGGAGGAAGCAACTCATGGCTGCTAGGTGTTCAAATAAACTAATAATGTCAGGCCATCTTTATGGTCTAGACATGGAAGCTTTTCAGCTTGACTGGTATGTGAAGAAGAGTCAATGCCTTGTCTTCTGTTTCAGCCTACCCAAGTTTTGTATCCGCAGTGATGGCATAGACAGCAAGACCATGCCCTCTTCTGAACTTCCAGATTTGCAGTCTGGAGACCAGCGACAGGTAAGAGTTGTGTAACCGAAGCTGCTGTTTGTCGCTCAGCCTTTCTTATGGTCCAACTTTCACATCCATACATTGCAACTGGGAAAACCATGGCCTTGACTCTACGCACTTTTGTTGTATCTAGTGTAGTAATATTGATCCTAAATGAGTGCCACTTTGCTTTATTGTGCAGCTTCAGAAGAAGAAGAAGAGGAAGAAGCGGAAGAAGTTGCAGAAGGTTTCCTCCTCTGTGTTGGAAGAAAACTCCAAGGTGATACTTGCCCCGTGGACCTCTCTTCCAGTTTTACAGTCAGGTAAGATCGGCAGCCCAGAAATTCCATCCTAAAGGTCTCATGGGACCCCTTTCTGCCTAGCGAGAATCCTGGAGATTTAAATATAAAGCTGCCAAATGACTTGTGAATAGCCAAGTATTTCTAACAGCTTCACGTAGTAAAGGTACAAAACTTGTTAACTTTTCCCTGGCTCCTTGCTGCCGCTTGCATGATCTCCCACAAGCCCCATTGCTGTAAAAGGAGAGAAGTAACCATTTCTGCTACCCTCTCCTTCCCTTGTTTTCAGAATCGTCCATCGCCACCGCCCCTTCTTCAACCTCCTCATCTTCCAGCCTCCGCCCCCTGGCACCAGCCGGCCCTCCTAAAGCCGTCGTGCCCACCGGCAGCCCCGGCCCAGTCCAAGCTGCAGGTCCTCCAGCTGATTATCACTCCGAGTCAGCAGAGTCCATGGAGGAGATCCCTGTGGCTCAGACCCGTCTGGGGAGCAGTGCCAAAAGCGGAGCTTCCAACAGCGGCACTCGGCGTCTTCCTTTTCCCGCAGCCTCCTCGAAGGGCGCAGGGGAGAAGCACCGAAATGCTGCAGGGCACGGCCCCAAAAGCAGGAACTCTCAGCCAGCCCGGGCCCAGCCAGCCGAAGAGCTGGAACTGTCTCCGAAGGTCCCGGCTGTGTTTGTGAGCAGAAGTAGCGGGGAGCCTCCCGTCCCCAATCTCTGGTCTGGCGAGACGCCGTCTGAACCTTCTCACAGAAAATGTTCCAGCAAAAGGCACGTCGACGATCAGAAGTACCACGTTTGGGAGTCAGGCACCACCAGTTCGACAGCAGCCTAGACGCCTGGTGGCCTAAGAGCTCTAACAGCCGAGAGAGAAGCAATAGTGTGTGGCCTGCTCACTCTCCCAAATATATTGGTGTTCATGGATTGAATCTCGAGTGATCTGTCTTGCTCTCTGGAGCAGGCTGGTATTTTGCTTATTATTCATGCCTTGTCTTCACGGGGAAAACGGGGCAGTTCCTTTCCCGTGGTAGTTCACGAAGATAAATCATTTGCCTCTGGAGGGCAGCCAAAGGGTAGAGTTAGCAGTCTCCTTTACAGGCATACCCGGGGTTTGAAGATGAGCTTTGCAGATGCTTAGATTTATAACCTGAGGTCTTTTTTATTAGACCTCAACAAAGCAGGCCTGCTTCCCCGGAGTTCTTTGGGAGAGCCAAAAGGAGCTCTATTCTATCCCCTAAGCCAGGGGAAGGCAACCTTGGCTCTTTTTATGACTCGTGGACTTCGACTCCCAGAATTCCTGAGCCAGCGTGGCTCAGCTTGGAAACCTCTCCCTTTCCCCTCAGCGTGACTGGCTCAGGAATTCTGGGAGTTGAAGTCCACGAGTCATAAAAAGAGCCACGGTTGCCTACCCCTGGCCTAAGGCCTGTATTTCTCAACCTTGGCCACTCGGAGATGGGTGGACTTCAACTCCCAGAATTCCTGAGCCAGTCACGCTGAGGGGAAAGGGAGAGGTTTCCAAGCTGAGCCATGCTGGCTCAGGGAATTCTGGGAGTTGAAGTCCACCAGTCATAAAAGAGCCAAGGTTGCCTACCCTTGCCCTAAGCCAGAGTAGGGAGTCGGAAAGAGTACTCCTCCTCCTTTGTGCTTCCCTCTGGGAAACGTTTACTCTGTGCTTGTGTCTGAAAGGCAGACACCAAAGGCGTTGTTTCCGCTTAGCCCTTTCTCTTTTCTCTGCTGCTTATTCTTGCCTTGCAATGCAACCTCACGTTTGGGGTTTTTTTTTAAAGGCTGGTGCGGAGCACTTGCATACATGTGGAGAGATCCGAGCCAGTTTCTTCATGTGGGCAACTTCCCTTGAGAACCTCTTCCGTGGTAACCCAAAACTCTTGAATGCATGATGGATCTTGGGTAAGGAGATCCATCCTAAGACATCTCTGGCAGATCTGGGAGCCAGGAATGCAACAAGGCAGTTGTCTGTTTCAGGGCTCCTTGGATATTTCGGGGGCCTTATTTTTTTTACTTTTAGGGAGGGACCCTGCTTGGTATCCCAAAAGTTCCAGGTTCTTCTCTTACGTCTAGTTAAAAAGGATTAAATAGCAATCGGCGGGAAAGACCTTTGCCTGAGACTCTGAAGCCACGTCTGGTCGAGAATAGAAGACTAGATGGACAAGTGACCTGGCCTAATAGAAGGTAGCTTCCAACATTCATTTAGCAATATTATGGAGCGCTTTGAACAGCTCTGTTCTCAATAAATATTTTTTCTATGCTCTTTGCTAAATGCTTCTCCTTTTTCTTTTTCCCCTGCCCTGCATTTGCTGAAACAAGAAGCAGTTTTGTCAGGATGACCCAATTTGTTAGCTCCTGAGCCTAGCATTTCATGTGTGTAACTCATGACATACTTATTTTGTGGGTGGAAGATCAGGACACTTTTCAGCTGATCAAGCTCTACCTCTATAACGATTCTGACAGATCAGTGTTTCTCAGCCTTGGCAGCTTGAAAATGTCTGGACGTCAACTCCCAGGCTTCCTCAGCCAGTCATGTGCATGTTTTGGATGTAGGCATCAGTTTTACTACCCTGGGGTTTTGAGCAAAAGGATCCTACTGTTGGAAAAACTCTCTCTCTGTGTGCTTTCTGGAGAGTTACTACTGCATGTCAGAATAGGTTTTGTCAAATCGTTACAAAGGCAGGATTTCACAGAATCGGTATAATAGAAATAACCCCCACAACCGAAGCTGATTAACGGCTGAAAATGATTGTAATGCAGGACCTGTATGGATGCAGACTGATATTTTAAGTATGCAGACTGTTAGCCACCAAAACAGAGGAATGCTCTTGACGGTCAATCTTGCAGCATTTGGCAGCATTGATATAAACCGCTCTGCAATCCATACCCTTCTGTTCAAGCAGGGGTCATTTAAGGCTTAAAAGCAGCCAAGCTATGAATGAGATGGGTAACTTTATGTTTGAGACAATGGATAGTTAAGATGGGTGGGGAATGGTTTTCGGCAAGAAAATGAGGTGGCAGATCATCTCTTCAGAGCTCTTGGGAGCAAGATAGAAATCCAATCCCAGACTCTTCCTGCAACTAGCTATGCCTTCAGTGACAGTGTCCACATGGGTAATTTATTGAACCTGGTCTGTGCTGGCTCTTTCCTTTGGCTTCTAGAGGGCATAATCCGAATCGTTGTGCGACACACTTTTGGTATGATTGGCTTGCATTAATCTGGGTAGCCATGGTGCCTGCATACTCTTGGCACCAGAGGCTACAGGGATAGATCTGAAGTGACACCAGCGGGCTTGTGATCCTGGAATGTATAGTCTGCTCTGGTTGCTGGGCTGCTGCTGCTGGAATAACTTTGACGTTTTTTAGGAGAGCAGTTATTACACATATAGTCCCAGAACAGAGAAACTCAAGTTTTAATACCTGAAGAAACATAGTAGAGAAGAAATATTCCCCAGCTTGCTCCAAGCAGTGTACCATTCAGAAAAATGCCACTGGAAACTTGAGATGGCAATGTCTTGGGTTGTTAGGGTTCTGTAGCCTTGTTATTGTCCTGTTGTGCGACTTTTGTTGAGCTTATAGCCTGTGATTGCAGTCAGCGGAACCAGCTCGGGGTCTCATTTCTGCCCTCCTGCTGTGCTCAGCTGCCAAGCAGAATCCAGCAGCTGCCCCAAATGGCTATACGATGCCAGTTGGGTATCCCACAGAAGCGACTGTCTTTTAAGGTCCCTGCTCAGTGTGTTCCTTTCCTTCACACTAGCTAGCCTTGCTTCAAGAATTCTTTTCCGTGACTTGGTGAAGTGTCTTCTTCCAGTGACTTCATCCATCCATCCATCCATCCATTCATTCTAGATAACTTATATTACTGCCTACACACTCACAGCGACTCCAGGCGGCGTACAGAGAATAAAAACACAATGTAGAAAAATAATTAAAAAAAATAGTAAAATAATAATGAAGTACAGGTAGTCCTCGACTTACAACAGTTCTTGGTGTCCGTTCAAAGTTACAATGTGAAAAAGAGTGACCGATGACCCCTTTTCCACACTTTTGACCTTTGCAGCATCCCCGTGGTCAATGTGATTTACATTCGGATGCTTGGCAACTGACTCGTATTTACGACGGTCGCGGCGTCCCGGGGTCACGCGATCCCCTTGGGCGACCTTCCGACAAGCGAAGTCAATGGGGGAAGCCATACGCACTTTACAGCCACGTTACTAAATTAACAACTGCAATGGTTCACTTAACACTGTGACAAGAAAGATTCATGAAGTGGGGCAACATAAATTTTGGGCTCAACTGTGGTTGTAAATTGAGGACTGCCTGTAATAAACCACCCACCCCCTCGGCGACAACACACACTCAAATCAACCCTTTAATGGGCTCCATCCCTCTCTGGATTCCCCAGGCCCACTGGCAAAACCACGTCCTCAGGGTCTGATTTCTGGAGGGATAATGTTCCAGAGGGGCAGGAGCCACCACGGAGAAGGCCCTTTTTCTGGGTCCCACCAGGTGCATCTCCTTAGGGGACGGGACCCGCAACATTCCCTCGCTCTTGTAGTTTTCGCTTTGAAATACCTCGCCTGGTCTTGGTAGCTCAGCATGGTTGGGACTAGTTAATTCCAGCTCTCCCAGCCGAGATGGGAAATGTTTAAAAATCCTTTAAAAAAAACACAAAAAAACAGTGGCCAACCATTTCTGAAACACTGCCAAGCACATTGCAGTTGACTTGAGGGCATCTTCGCTTTGATTTCCGCAGCGGCTTGCCCTTGTGATAAGTGGGGATTTTCCTCTCTGCCTCCCCCCCCCTTACGGACTTTAGGACTGTGGGTTTCCATCAGCTGACAGGGCGAAACAATGAATAGAAAACACACACACAGCCTTTAAGTAACAAGTGTGGTCATCGTCAGCCTTGGGCGCTCCCCGTGCCATTTTCTTTCACGTGGAACAAGGAAGCTGTGTTTGTTGTCTTTAGTTAGTTTGTATTTCAGTATCAGGCAGCATTGTGGCAAATATCGGCACCGCCTCTGAGCTTTCTTTGTCCTCCTCCCAATTATCAGGATGTTTCTGACCAGCATTTCCAACAAAGCCTGGGCACGATGCATTTGGAGAACCCCATGCACACATCGGGATGGTTCCCTCCACAGGATTTCTCGTATCTGGTATTTTCCATTCTTGACGAGTCAGTCGCGATGACACGTTTTCTGCCTATAGTTCCAAAAGGAGAAATTGTGTTGATACCAGTCAGTCAATGCACAAAATTATTCAGGGAGGGGGGAGGCAGCTTTGAGGCACTGGGTTCTGCAGTTTGGCCCAGAATATCCCAAGCTGTATGGTTTATATGGCCTTCACCCTAACAGAGCCTGACTTTCAGCAGGTTTGGGATTTGATGGATAGCATAGTAGAAAGTGGCAGTGACAAGAATTGAGCTTTCCTTGAAGAAGATTTGATGGTTATGTGAAACAGCACTTGTACAAGAGATTTGAGTCACGCGTTGGCCACTGTGAGAAGAAACTGCTGGACTGAATGGGCCAGGAATCTAACACAGTTGGGCACTGCTCATGTTCCTGGGGATTATGGATGCTTCTAAGGTTATCTGGTCCCTGCATCCTGGCTGTCCAAAAGCAATTAATGCTATATAAGAAACATCTATCTTCTTAGAATGCTTTTACTGTTAACGCAGAATTCTCACAGTGCGCTTTCCAAATTGCTAATTGGTTGGGTTGGGCTACTTCAGGGACTATAAACAGCTGGCAGTAGTACAAGCGATTCCTTTCAGATTGTTGACAGGCGCTGTACTTACCCAAGTTTTACTACCTTGTTTTAAGAAAGTGGACCTCTCCTGAAATAGAAAGGATATAGAGTTTTAGGCGTGTTGTAGCACGTCCAGATAATGGGAATGCAACATTCAGCACCGTGATAATCATGCAATATCTTATTTAGTTGCTGTGGTTACTGGATTTTATATATATTGCACAAGTCTCCTCAGGTTATATATATATTGCACAAGTCTCCTAAGCCATTGTGTTTTGTAGCAACAGCAGGTGATCTAGAGG